CGCGCGAGTCTCCGCGCGTCCGCTTCTCTTCTCCGCGGCGCCGGTGCTCCCCGCTCACGCTTCCTCGGGGCCTGGCTCTGGCCTCCGGAGCGGTCCCGGGCAGCCCGACGCTGCTCTGCGCGGGCAGAGACGCGCCGAGCCCCGCGGCTGCGCTGCCGCGTCCCCGGCGGCGGCTGTTTCTGGACCGCTGGTGCCTCCAAGAGGACCGCTTCGTCGTCGGGGCGCGTTTAATGCTCCACCGCAAGGCCAGGCCGGTCCCAAGAGGGGAGGCTGCTCTGCGAAGGTCCATACTTATCATGTCGGTTTGATTTACTGCACACCTTGGTGTCTCACCTAGAAGGAGATCGTGTTAAAAGAGTTTCAACCTTTTTGCTGGGAAGGGCAGGCTGAATTCTCAGGATAGCACGGATTTTGAGTTTATCCCAGATTCTCTGAGGAATAGAAATGTTCAATTGGAACCAAAGGCCCATCTAAACCAGCTTCCTGGATCTTGCAATAGTCAATAGATGCCCCAAAGAATCTTCTCAAATAGGTCACGAGTACAAGAACATCCCCTTTTTTGTGTGTTCTCTCCAGTAATCTGAGTTTTCCAGAGATTGGTTTAATTTGTTCTGGAAATTTTGCTTTATTAGTGATATGGGACTTCCAGTCAAGACAGCTCTGCAGTCAGATGGCTACTAGCCTCCTCCTATAATTTATATCCTGGTAATTGTTTGCTATGGTAATTGCCACTCTCGGAACCAGAAAGTGGTGATTATGAAGCATTTGATCATTAGAGAGGACTTGCTTGTTACCCGTCTGGTCAGCAGGTAAGAAAATTCTACCACCACTCACTAAAATGGCAATGTCAGCAGCTCCTGTGATCTGATGGCTGATCTTCAAATGAGAGCAGATATAAAAGCTACTAAGAGAGCCAGTATGTTGTAGTGGTTAAGGCATCAAACTAGAACCAGGAAACTCTGAGTTCTAGTCCCACCTTAGGCACAAAGCCAGTTGGCTGACCTTGGGCCAGTCCCTCAGTCCAAGGAAGAAGAAAGGACAAACCGCTTCCAGAAATCTCCAGACAGTCGCCAAGAGTCCATACAGACTCAAAGGCCAAAAAAAAAAAAAGCTATTAAAGATACTGATAATACAGTAAATTCCCAGATGAATGTAGCAGACAACTGAATATTAATTGGAATATCATGTGAAGTCAGTAGTCACAACTAGAATTAGTTTACTACTAAGATTCTTCAGGATGCAATCACATCTCTGGAATCTCACTCTTTCTTAGTCTACATCACTGGAATCCCAGAGGAAGCTAGGAAAAGCAGGCCAATTTGTGGCAGTAGTGGCTTTGTCTGGAGATCATCAGCTCAGTACTCAGGGAGCCCCTCATGCTACAACTTGTTTTTGTTTTTGTACAGCTGATAAGCCCTGCTGGGCATTTATTGTGAAGTCCTTAGTTTTGCTCTGAAAAATGAAGTCTTACAGAAGACTCAATCTAATCTTCTCTAAATGAATGGTAAGATTAAAACATTGCTATTACGTTTTTCCTTGATTCTGCTAAAAAGGCTCAACAACACAAGTTGTTCAATAACACAAGTAACAATATCAGAAAATCTTCATCAGATTTCTGGCTATGTTTGTTTTGAAATTAGAAGGTACTCAGAAACCATTTCATAATCACACGGAAGCAGAATATTTTCTTAACCTGCTGTTTTTAAATTTGATTTTAATCTGTCTCGGTGGCAGCATTGCTTGGCAGGAGCCAACATGTGTTTATCAATAATAACTCTCATCAAATTAACCTGATCTTTTTAATAGAAGGGCCAATGTAATTGATCAGAAAAAGCAGTAGTCATAATATACCTTGACTTCAGCAAAGCATTAGACAAGCTCCCATGAAATTTAATTGTGAACACAGCAAAAAGTGGATTGCACTATGCTACCGTTAGATGGATCCAGAGCTGGTCATGCCCAACACCACCAGATCTGGCAAAATGGACATTCCTCTAATAGGATGCAGGAGGCCTGCCTTCTCTGTTCTGGTGCCAGACTCTCCCTGACATTCACATGGCCCCGGCCAACTGCCTGGGAGGCTGTGAATACCCCTCAGATGCAGGGGCAGGATATCTTGGCCATGCAGTCTAGTAGTTGTGAGATGCCAATGGAGGCGAATATGTGTAGCTCAGGGTTGAATTGTGGAGTCTTGGGGTTCTCTGAGCTTGGTTCTTTTCCTGCAAACATTTCATTACCCAGCTAGGTAACATCTTCAGTGCTGGCATGGGAAGGGGCTTGCTCTCTGTTTATATACTCTTGCGTGCCCTGCCAGTGCTGGTGGGGGTGGGGGCTTTGTTTCGTTCCTCTGGTAGTTCCTTGATTAGGGTATTGTTTGCTGCTTGCTTGTGTGCCCTGTGGTAACCTCTGCTTATCTTGATGATAATTGCTGGTCTTTTGTCTCTTTTGAATAGTGTGTATATGCTGTTTATCTTTATGTGTGCTGCCTTGTCTGAATACCAGGCTTCCAAGAATTCCCTTGCATTTTTGGATTTTGCTTGGTCTAAAATACTGACAGTTTCCCAGTTAAAATTATGGTTATACAGTGGGGCAAAAAAGTATTTAGTCAGCCACCAATTGTGCAAGTTCTCCCACTTAAAAAGATGAG